TCGTTGAAGGCGCAGAAGTCGGCGAAGAGTTCTCCGTTTTCATTCATTTCTCCTAGAGCTTCTCTACCCATGATGAGTTCCCTTCCCGTATTGTCTGGTCCCAGTTTGGCGTTCATGTCTCCCATTAGTATTTTCATGTCGCCAGCTGGAGTATTGTCCATTGTTGCCTGTAGTTGCCTGTAGAATTCTTCTTTCTTCTCGAGGTCTGCGTTGTTTGTGGGTGCATAACATTGTATGATTGACACTTTCCTTCCTTTGGAGTTGAACCTGGCGGTCATTATCCTGGACGAAATCGCCTCCCATTGTATCAGGGCTTTCGTTGCCGTTGGTGACATCATGATAGCCACGCCCTCGGTGTGCGTGTGGTTATCTTCTGGGTGACCGGAGTAGATCACTGACTCACCTGTTGACAATTTGGTGAGTCCACTCCCATTCCATCTGCTCTCACATATTCCCAGCACTTGTATTCCGTATCTTTTCATCTCGTTGGCGATCTGGGCAGCTTTTCCAGTCTCGTACATAGTTCGGACGTTCCATGTTCCTACACAGACTTTTTCTTTTGGTGCAAGGAGGTTCAGCATACTGAAGATTCTGTAGCAATTTTTGTTTACAGGGTGGGGTTGCTAGCCTCACGCCTGAGAAAAGAATGATTACATTAAGTAAAAGTTTAGAGAGAAGCAACTTTTTGGGTTGCTCCCCTCAAAATCAGAAAATAACGGACAAACAATGAGAACAACATCAACAAAGGAAACAGTTCACAGAAAAAAGGGCAAAAAGCGACGACAACTATACAATAAGACAACATGCAATATAGTTCAGTACATATAACTAAAATGATATCTTAACCATAAACTCACTGACTTGGAGCAACTTGAACATATAAATCCAACAATATATACAATTATAGATGTGTTTATGTTTAAAAATTCCACAAATCCAAACAGTGAGTTATGTGTATTATCTGTCAATAAGATTGTATTTTTTGGATTCAGTGTTCGAAAGGTTAATAATTGTGATAATTTCCGCAAACACTTTGCATAAAATTTTAGAGTAATAAGATATTTTATTTATGACCAAAATGTAGCGTAATAGTCGAAAAGTCTGTATGTAGTGAGGCGATATGAGGGAGTGGGTTGAGTCTTTTGGTTGACATAGAATTGAGTGAAGCGACTTTGTTGGTTTGTGTACGACGTCAACTCCTAAAGGTTTGAAGAGTCTTGTAGGAAATCAACTCACACAGACCAAATACTGAATTACAACAGCAACAACCCAATAACACACAAAAGGAATTGCATACAAACACTATTCAAGAGGGCAAGGACTCACTGCAGCACTCCCACCTTAAGAAAAATTGAAGAAAAGTATCTCATGGACGTCTTCCAAAAGAATGGATATCCACGGGATTTCATCAAGAGACATATACCCCCAAGCCAACCTACCAAAGCAAAAGCCACCAAGGAGAACACGAAGAAAATTGCCTTACCATATATAAAAGATATCTCAGAAATCACTACAAGACTCTTCAAACCTTTAGGAGTTGACGTCGTACACAAACCAACAAAGTCGCTTCACTCAATTCTATGTCAACCAAAAGACTCAACAGCGAAAGAAGATAAAACCAACATCATCTACAAAATAAACTGTAACAACTGCGAAAAACACTACATCGGCCAAAGTGGACGTCCCCTTCGTCTTCGTATCCACGAACAGAAGCTAGCTGTCAAAAGACATGATACCCACTCCCTCATATCTCACTACATACAGACAACCACGGACATCAATTCGACTGGGACAACGTTCAAATATTAGACAAAGGAAATAACAAGAATGCTAGAGAATTTTTAGAAGCTTGGCATTCCAGTGGATCATCAATCAATAGACACATCGACATAGACAAAATTTATCAACCAATAAGAAAGAAACTTCACAGACAAAGGGTCAAAATTCAAGTCAAAGAAACAACCGGTTCCAATACAAGTAACCTAGATGGTGTGAAAACACACACAAACAACCAATCACGTCCAAGGTCACCAGGAGAGATAATTAATAAACTCGTGGAGAAATCTAAAAGCTCACTTCAAATTGAAGTATGCGCTGAAGATGTCACCCAGTAAGGTGATGAAAGCTTCTCAAACTAACCATCCAGCTCAGAGAACAAAACCACATCAAAGTGAAACATGTTTTATGCGTGTTAAATGTTAACTGGCACTCGTTAGTCCAAGCGAATTTACGTCCCTCATCAGTTAATCGATGAAGGGGGGCTGCTATGTTGGCGAAGTTTTGAAGGAACCGACGGTAGTAATATGCAAGCCTCATGAAACTACGAATATCTGTCGTCGATTTAGGGGTAGGCCAGTTGAGGATTGCTTGTACTTTGCTGTCTACTATCACCAATGATCTTCCTGATTGCAATTGATTGGATAATGCGACAGACAACGGCAACCAACGAGGGAACAGGCATAAAATGGACTGACACAAAAGACTTGGAGGATCTGGATTTCGCCGATGATATATGTCTGATTTCCCATAAACTGGAAGATATGCAAATGAAAAGTAACAAGTTGGAAGAAGAAGCATCAAAGATAGGACTTCACGTGAACATAGATAAAACAGAGATGATGAAGATTCCTTGCCAACATCAACAGCAACAACAGACCACAATAAGCATAAATGGGAAGAACCTGAAAGAAACAACCTCCTTCACCTACCTGGGAAGCATCGTCTCAACTACAGGCGGAACTGACGAAGACATCAAAGCCAGAATCGGAAAAGCAAGACAAGCTTTCATTACTCTCAAATCTGTGTGGAGGTCAACAGCACTCAGCATCAAAAATAAGATCCGGATTTTCAACTCCAATGTGAAGTCAGTGCTACTATACGGATCAGAGACTTGGCGAGTCATAAAGAGCATCTCAAACAAACTTCAAACCTTCATCAACAGCTATCTTCGCTCAACATTCAAGATCAGATGGCCAGAAAAAATCAGCAACAGGGATTTCTGGGAGCAAACCAACCAGGAACCGATTGTGAAACAAATAGGCAGGAAGAAATGGAGATGGATTGGCCATACCCTGAGGAAACCATCAAGTGACATCACTAGACAAGCCCTCGAGTGGAACCCGAAAGGGAGGCGGCGAGTTGGTCGTCCAAGGGTGACTTGGAGGAGGTCATGTGAAGAGGAGATGAAAGCATGTGGGCAGACCTGGAGCAGGGTGAAAAAGTTGTCAGAAAACCGAAGTCAATGGAGGTGCGCAGCTGAAGCCCTATGTTCCTCTAGGAACTAAAGGATACAATAATAATAAATAATAATAACATACAGACAACCACGGACATCAATTCGACTGGGAAAACGTTCAAATATTAGACAAAGGAAATAACAAGAATGCTAGAGAATTTTTAGAAGCTTGGCATTCCAGTGGATCATCAATCAATAGACACATCGACATAGACAAAATTTATCAACCAATAAGAAAGAAACTTCACAGACAAAGGGTCAAAATTCAAGTCAAAGAAACAACCGGTTCCAATACAAGTAACCTAGATGGTGTGAAAACACACACAAACAACCAATCACGTCCAAGGTCACCAGGAGAGATAATTAATAAACTCGTGGAGAAATCTAAAAGCTCACTTCAAATTGAAGTATGCGCTGAAGATGTCACCCAGTAAGGTGATGAAAGCTTCTCAAACTAACCATCCAGCTCAGAGAACAAAACCACATCAAAGTGAAACATGTTTTATGCGTGTTAAATGTTAACTGGCACTCGTTAGTCCAAGCGAATTTACGTCCCTCATCAGTTAATCGATGAAGGGGGGCTGCTATGTTGGCGAAGTTTTGAAGGAACCGACGGTAGTAATATGCAAGCCTCATGAAACTACGAATATCTGTCGTCGATTTAGGGGTAGGCCAGTTGAGGATTGCTTGTACTTTGCTTCTGTCTGTGCTCACACCTTGCGGGGTGATCTCATGACCAAGGAAGGTAACAGATTTCTGCAGGAAGTTGCATTTTGGTGCTTTCAACTTAAGATTACTTTCGCGTAGGCGTTGGAATACGACTCGAAGGTTGGCATGGTGTTCTTCAAGGGACTGCCCGAACACAATGATGTCATCCAGGTAAATTAGGCATTGTTTCGGGACTAACCCTGCAAGTACTGTTTGCATGAGTCGCTGAAACGTAGCGGGGGCATTAGACAAACCAAATGGCATGGTTTCAAATTCGTATAACCCCGTAGGCACAACAAATGCAGTTTTCGGTCGGTCTTCCGGACGAATTTCGACTTGCCAATAGCCGGAAGCCAGGTCCAATGTAGAAAACCACTGTGCCCCACCCAAAGCATCTAGAGTAGCGTCTATGCGAGGTAGTGGAAAGGAATCTCGTTGCGTGATTGCGTTAGACGGCGGTAGTCAACGCAAAGGCGGAGGGAGCCATCTTTTTTCTTCACGAGTACAATAGGGGATGCCCATGGTGACGTGGACGGTTTAATCACTTTCTTCTGTAGCATATCTGCTATCATTGTATCCAACTGTTGCTGGTAATGAATGGGAACCCATCGAGGGGGCATCCTAATGGGCAGGTTATCCCCCGTCTTAATCTCGTGTTGTACAATACTAGTACGCCCCATCATATGTCCGTCGTCAAACACGTCACTATACTCTTGTAACAGGGCCAAAGTGTCAGCACGGTCTTTAAGACTGAGGTGAGGGTTATCATGGACGTTCACTATTGTCATCTGTGGTAAAGCACAAGTATTAGCACACTGATTGTGGTTGGATGATCGGCCAATTGCGAGGTTATGTGCCCCCAGCCGGATTCGAAGGCGACTTAAATCAATGACAGCGTTTTGTGCGGTTAGGAAGTCCACGCCCAGTATGGCGTCCCATCGTATAACATCGCAAATGACGAACGACTGGGCACAAGTAAAACCTTGAAGCGTCACTGAAAGGGTGGCGGTATCCGTTACCTTAATTGGTGCTCCATTGGCAGCAATTAGCTGGAGCTGATTGGGGAGAGGTTTAGGTTTGACCCCGAGTCTCTGAACCAATGCCGTGCGCACAACAGAGGACGATGCCCCAGTGTCAATCAGAAAAGTTACGTCTGTGCCCTGGAGCTTGCCCTCAAGGAAAAGGGGGATTTCGAATATTTACCAGATAAGGACACATTAGAGGAACGCTCACCTTGTGGTTTTCTATTGTGCCCACATTTCCATGCTCGCCGTCCAAACCGGTGACAGTAATAACACTTACTGGGGTCCTCATGCTGCTTGGGAGTGACTGTGGTTGGCGTTGAAGGTTGATTTGGCGGTGGGGCATTGAACCGGCGTTGGCGTGGTGCTGGTACGGTCGTAAGTGCAGCCGAAGATGATGCTGTTGGGACTGGGTAGAGGAAGCTGCTGGTTGGTACTGTAATATCTCGCTGAATGTCCATAAAGCGCAAGATGGTTCGTTGTAATTCCATTGTGTTCGTAGGGGGGTGGCGTAGCAGGTCTGTGCGCAGGTCACCAGGCAAGACCCCGTCGAGAAAACGTGTCCGCAGCATGCGGTCTCTGTATTCTGGATCTGCGTTATTGTCCACACTCGCCACCATTAGTTGTAAGGCATGGAAGTAATCGAGGGGGCTTTCATCAGGCAGTTGTCTGCGATTGAAGAACTTTAGAAGGGCGTGTTCGTAGCCCAATTGAAGATCAAAACAATTATCCAAAATTTTCCAATTTTCGTCCATGGACTTTGTGCTGCTGAATCCGGCAGCATCGGCGCGTGCGAATGCATCTTCTGATAGGGCATTGAGGATATGAAGGAAGTGGTGCGCTGGTGGAGAAATACTGAGGAATGCTTGAACGCGTTTTTTCCATCTGGGGTAGTCAGATGACAATTGCAACATTGGAGGACGAGGTAGCTTGGGCACCATCGGCGTGGTGATACCACTTTCTTCTGGAAATAGCTTGTGAAGACCGTAATCGAATGAATTTTCCATGTTAATAGCAGAAGGACCACCTCCGACACCAATTTGTAACAGGCAACCAGCAGGCACACCGTAATGAAAGCAGAACACCAACTGCACAGGAAAGAGTTTATTCAGCGAGAATGGACTTTTTAAAAAGTGCGGGGTACAGTTTTTGGGGATTACAGTTTTACTGAGCTTCATTAATGTTCAGGTTCTGCAATTCCTCGTCCAAGCAGTTGACTCCCTGGTATCTTCCTGCAAGTAGAGAAAATAAAACATTGATTAGTGTTACACTATTAGTTTTATTTCTCCTACAACGGGATGAAAACGAAACGAAGTCGATTTTCCCGCTCAACCTGGAGGACAATTGTACAATTCAATAACTATACAGCCTAGTTCAGACAATGAGTGTTTATATATATATATATATATATATATATATATATCAAATATTTAACTGTTGAAACATTATTAACTTGTAAACAATCTACGATTTGATATTATATCATACTTGATCGTGCCTGTAAAAATGGCATGCATTTTCATGTAAATTTATATGTTTATATGAGAATATACATTATTATTATTATTATCATAAACCGCTAGAATGCAGTATATCGCTAGCCCTAGTCCAGCATATAAGTAAGCCCACGCGCTATGACTCGCAGCACTCCTCCTCAACTTTGGACCTTGTGTTCTCCCACGGTGAGGATGTGGATCTCAAAGAACATCTTCATCCGTTAGGAAGAATTGACCATGGTGTGCTCACTTCCAAGTTCACAGCAACGGCAGCAAGGGCCAAAAACCCAGCTCGACCAAACGTTTGGAAAGCTGATATAAATGCGATCATCTCAACAGCCAACTCAGTAAACTGGTACATCAACCCAGAGTCCCAAGTAGAAGCCGCATGGAACCAATTTAAGCAACTTTACGCTCAAGTAACTGTACCTTTCATCCCTTGGTCTGTTCCAAAAGGTGGGAATCATTCCTCCCTTGGATAAACCGGGAGATTCTTAAGTTACTCAGACATAAACACAAATGTTGGAAACTGTTTGCCACACTTGAGACTTCTGAGATCAGGGAATTATATACTACTGCTAGAAATAAAGCTATCGCGGAATTCCACCAATCAAGGATGAAGTTCGAGGCACACCTGGCTCAAAATGCAAAGGCACAACCTAAAAAAATTTTCTCGTACTTGAATTTCAGGAATAAAACATCCAATGGTGTCCCGAACCTGATTATTGACAACGATACAATCGAAGAAGATCAAGAAAAAGCAGAAGCAATGGCAAACTACTTCTCCCAAGTCTTCACTCAGGAGTCATCAATGCCTATAGGATCAGCTCTGGCTGCATCAGAGGAATGCGAGATAGATTCTGTTGACATCGACCAAGGCATCGTGCTCAAATGCTTAATGAAACTAGATGCAGGAAAATCAATGGGTCCCGATAATCTTCATCCAAGGCTTCTCAAGAAGCTATCAGCCCACATAGCCGCCCCCTTGACCACGATCTTCAAGTTATCTCTCCTAAATGGAGTGTTACTACGTGATTGGAAAGACGCCATAGTAACCCCCATACACAAAGGAGGATCAAGACAAAGCCCTTCAAATTACAGGCCTATCAGTTTCACCAGCATTTTAATCGAGACACTGGAGAGAATTATCAAAAAAGCATCATGGCATATCTAGAAAATAGTAGCTTGTTATCTGGAGCACAGCATAGCTTTCGAGGGAACCTCTCATGTCTGTCAAATCTCCTCACTTCAGGAGAAAGCTGGGTCATTTCAAGGGACAACAGAAGATCTGTTGACGTCGTCTTCATAGACTTCAGCAAAGCCTTTGATAAAGTACCTCACAGAGGACTACTCAAGAAGTTGGAAAGTCTTGGTATCAAAGGCAGATTACTAAACTGGCTCAGGGAATTCCTCATAGATAGGAGGCAGAGGGCAAGGATCAACTCAAGACTCTCCTTTTGGACAGCAGTACGTAGTGGAGTTCCATAAGGCACGGTACTCGGTCCTCTCCTATTTATTTTGTATATCAATGAGTTACCTCTGCTCACCGACTCCCCTATGGTCCTATACGCAGATGACTTGAAAATTTGGAGAGAGCTGAAGAACAACAGTGATACGTTCACGTTGCAAGAGGACCTCAACAAATTGTCGGAGTGGTCTGTTGAATGGATGCTCCCGATCAATGTGGCAAAATGTGCAACCATGCGCATTGGACAATCAAGCACAAGCCCCTACGAATTAGAGGGAATAACACTTCCATCAGTTCAGACTCACTTGGACTTAGGTGTCATAGTTAGCCACGACTTAAAAACTACAGCACACTGTCGCACGGTGGCTGCACGCAGTTTCAGGCCCTAATGGGCGATTCGCAGAGCCTTTACTAGAACTACCAGAGATATGTTCACATCCTTATATACATCTCTGGTTAGGTCAAGACTGGAAAGCTGCATCCAGGCCGCCAGTTCTTGTCTAAAAGGGGATTCACACATTCTAGAAAGTGTTCAAAGGAAGACAACACGTATGGTTCACGGCATAACCAACTTATCATACGAGGAAAGACTAGACAGAGAGGAGATTTAATCACGATGTTTAAAATTTTAAATAATGACTACGGACCTGACCTATTCTGTCTTTTCCTTCCCACCAGGTGAGAACACCTTAGAGGACACAGCAGGAGAGTTCAAAAGCCAAGGAGAAATCATATTGCTGTTGAGTACTGGTTCTCACATCGAGTCAGAAACTCTTGGAACCGACTCCCAGAAGAAGTGGTGTCTGCAACCTCAACTGATTCGTTCAAGAAGGGTTTGGACAACCACAGAAATCTACTAGAAAAGGATTAACATAGGCTCGAAGCCTTCTATCCTCAACCAATTAATCTGAATTAACATAAGCAACAAGAGACTTCTATCCCCATAATCCGAATCTGCATCTGAATTGTTTACTACAAGCCCCAGTTTCAAAGAAGCAGTTATATGATTATTTTATCTAGGATCTGTGACTTGCGGCAAAATCCACATCCTAAAGAACCATCAGTCACATGTATCTGGTATTGTACCGTTGAACTCACTTGAAACACATGGGCTCGTTTTTTAGTTCTTGTAGTTACTTGGAATTACTTATCTAAATGTTACATGGTTTTAAACGTATCCTCAAAGTCTGTTGTTGTAAAAAGACACTTGGAAGTATACGGGTTACCGCTGCAACTAGTAAGTCCCACATAATGATTTACCTAAATGACTTCATAAGTGTACTTCCGAAACGCGTTTGCTACGAGTGCGCGTTATTCGTGCCCTGGATCTTATGAAAAAGGACATATTTGGTGCAAGGTAAAATTTCTTATTAGATAATCTCTGTTAGTGATCCATACTGCAAGCTGTGTGTATATAAAACTCAGCGGTCAACGTTACCTGTCTGTACACCAGTGCCAACGCGAACTGTTAAGCGTTCCTTAAATCCTATTTGGAATGAAGAATTTATATTTAGAGTAAGTTGCAATATAATGTCATATTTCCGAGGTCAATCCATCTGAAAATCGTTTAGTTTTTGAGTTGTACGATGAGAATAGAATTGTAAGTTTTTTAGAATTCACTAGTCATAATCACCTAGACAAGAGATGACTTCTTGGGCGTCGTTACTGTATTTCTGCCTTATTTGGAAATTGGTACTGAAGGCTCCAGTAGTCGAATTATGGCGAAAAGTTTCTTGTTACGTCCTCGAAGGTACTGTCATTCTTCAATTTAACATAGTAATGCTTTTTTATCATTACAACTTTTACGTTATAGTCTCAAATAGTTATTTGACAAAAACACATACTCAATGTTTTAGCGTGAAGCTTAACTCTTTTATGTAATACGTACATCCAACTATATGGTTACCTAATTTCTTCACTATGGGGTTGTAAAGTTTTACTATGTCTGTTCAAGTCTTGGTAATCAGTTGGTTCACCTACCCTGCATTATTGATGTGTTTCATAGTGTAGCTTTTGAATACAGGGTTATCTGTTACGTTTATTTTCAAATTTCTTAATATTGTACTTAGTAATCCCAAGTTGTTAATAATTAAACTCACCTGTTCACGTATTTATTTGTTAGTGAGTCCCTTTCAGTTTATCTGGAGGCGGCGTGATGGCGCACTGATAGATTTAGTCTTTGAGTATTTAGCAACATACACTTACAGTAGTTTATATCGTAGATGGAGAAGATATGGGAATGGGGACCATCTATTTTGTTTCAGAATTTTTCGAGATTTATTGTTATGCATTGTTTTCAGAAGTAGGTTAAGGAAGTCGTGCATGGTGTCTTCGTTTGGATTAATGTTAATTCTCAGAAAGGCTTCGTGTGCTTTTGGAAGTGGAAGTGTGTAGGCGGTTGTTACTTTCCGTCTGTCCACACCGTGGAAGTTGATTGATTCTTCGAGTACCTGAAACAGAAAGTGTTGCGTGACTGTAGAGTCCAGGGGGCAAATGCTTGAGGCCGGTCACACACAGCCTGTATGAACTGGTTTCTGGGATTGGTTCCGTATTAGTAAACTTACCGCCGGTTACAGATAACCGTAGGGTAAGTCGGGATGTACAATTTTTGTGGTCGACCTTTTCTAACCCAACTCTCTCTCTGAAGTGGAGAGACAGCATAGCTGGTTGGCATGCTGGTCATCTGAGGGAAACACCTCACTGCTGTTACACCCCTGTTCCCCAGCAGTACGACTTCGCCCTCAGATCCCCAGCATAGTGTAAGAAAGATTCTTACACAATTCCGGTAACTGCTTTCAGTCTAATCGCGACCCTAACAACCTTCCTGGCATGGTAGGACCTGCAGGAACGTATGTTCCAGCCAGTGTAGCTTGTTGGGTCATCGCGATTTGCAAGCCCGACCTCCACCTCTAGGTAGCAGCTGTCGGTCGGGTAATGTGAATGCATTAGTTAGTAAGACTGAATTGTAACTTCATTCCCGTTTAATTGCTACCATATAACAACTAGAGAGATGTATAGTGGTAATCTCTGAAATAAAACGCTAGTATGTGCACATTTATCGCCATTGATTGCGTTCCACAGGATTATCTAATATCAGCCAAAGTAACAACAGTAATTCATGAAAAACCCATGGCTGAATTGAATATTTGAGTATGAAGTTTAGAATTCAATAGACTCAACAGTAAAGTGAGAAGAGCCTTATGTAATCACCATTGTCTATAATAACCGTGGTACGTTTTAGATAACCAGACTGAAGCATGTATTTCTTGTAAACATCACTTCTTGAACCTGAAACTTGAGATTCAGGATTTGCGTTCTTTTTGTTACTGGTAACTACCAGTATTCTTTTTATGGGTCTCATAATCATCGCTTTAAGGTCATCCTTATTTTTCTATCTTCATTTAGTAGCTAGTCTCTAATTGAGTCTGACCGATTGGTTTCAGTACAGCTCTACACTAATTCGAGTTGCCACTCTCTCCCTCCCCCACATATTGTACACAAAGCAAGGGAATACAGTAAAGAGAGATAATAAGAAGAATGAGTGAGGAGAAAGTAATAGTAATATGCAAGAAGAACAGTAGAGTTTTATTGGATATGACAAGTCAAAAGGATTGAATGCATCCGCACATCATTGAGAACAACGATTTCGAACCAGCCGTCATTAGTTCTCAACATCCCGACGACCCCCAACTAGCCAGTCAGGAATTTTACACCTCCCTACATGGCTTAAACTGACTGTTATGGATTTCATTGACTGATGAAGCCATGTTTTGGTTTGACCACCACTAGCTTTCTCTTTTCCAACCTGATCCATCGTATGTCAGCTAACATTCCCCATCGAGGGAGATGATGATGAGGCATGCGCAATGCTTGTCTTAACCATGTCAATCGGTGAAAATTCGCAACCTCGTCGATTGATTTCCCCTCCTTACGTAGCACTCGATTGATGCTTAATCTCAATATTGTTCACCTTGTGATTGAGTAATTTGATGGCGAGTATATCTGTAGTAGTCTTGAGCAGTTTCTTTATTTGGATAAGGTGAATTAGATACAGTGTTATGGTTGTAGATATAAATTGATTAGTTCCCTTGAAACATATGAGCATGATACTGATTTATACATGAATCATGTTAAACTATGTGAGCCTGAGGTTGATGACATTGTTAGTGTGTGACGATTTAGGTTTAAACTAAAAAGCCTGAGTTACTATATGATTCCTATGCAGGTATTATGCTTCTTTTTATATGTTGTTTACGTAGAGTATCACTCATTCTATTTCAGCTCTCGATCCCGCGTTCGAGGCAATCTCCACTTGTATTTGGCCTACTTACCAAGCCATTTAAATCCTCGAATATCATCTCTGCGTGAAATTCCTGCTGTTGTTGAACTGGTTAGTTCTGTGTTTTCACTGTAATAACTTTATGAATTAAGTTATGTCGTTGCCAGTTTAGATACAAACTGTTTACGATTAACTTTTAATTAGCATACAACGTTTTTTGTGCAATTTAGTGTGTCATCCAGATGTATTTTGCCTTATTTCTTTATGTTATACAGAGATTTTGGTGAGCGAACGTTATACTGCGCGTTCTCTGCCTATATTAGGTAACTTCTATTCAATGCTTTCTCGTGTCACTGGATATTCCTACAAAAGTGTAAGATGGACTCTGAATCTCTCGCACACACTACTAGTGGACTAGTGGACATGAAAGATTTACCTAGGCGGAATTTGAAAGTGTTAATCCCAAACTAATAGTGCACTTAATCTCCAGCATGCGAAAGCAGTGACTGGTAGAGTAACCGTAAGAATGTACCACCTGACTTTGCTATTCCTCTTTGTAGATTATGTGTCAAGTCACAGATTTGGAAAGGGTCCTTTGAGACAATCATCTGCTTAGATCTGTGTGTCTGTTTTCGACATAGAACTTTGCACCGATGTGCACCAGTTCAAGTCGCCAAACTCCCTCAATGTAGCACACACAGCAAGAGAAGAAATTAGAAGAAATGCATAATGGAGACAGTAAACAGAGGTGTGACACAAAGGAATAGTAATAACGAAGAGCAATATAGTTTCATTGGAAATTATAAATCACAAGGAGTAGATGCATATGCACTAGCCATTGAGAACGATCATTTTGAGCCATATCACCAATTGTTTCCAGCCGTCGTTGTTTTTTAGCGTCCCGAGGACCCCAACCAAGAAGTCTGCACCTTCTTACGTGGCTGGCTTAGACTAACTGTTTTATATTTCATCGACTGGTGCCTTGTTTTGGTTTGATCGCCGCTAGCTCCTTTCCAGCCTAACCCTATGTCAGCTAACATTCCCTGTCAGTCGAGGAAGGCGATGTCTAGGCTAGGCATATGTAACACGTGTCCTAATCATCTCAGTCGATGTAATTTCGCAGCCTCGTCGATTGATCTTAGATCTAGGTGTCCGGGTAGTCACCACACAAGATGTGGATAACAGATTAGTGCAAAGTTTAAAACAGCATTGGGGTACATCTCTTGGTAAATAAGTTTGTGCTCAGAAAAATCCCCAGAAATTATCGTTGAACTTTTACATACTTATGTCAACTTAAAAACTAAGAGCAGTATTCATCATTTTGTTTCTAAATGTTTACATGTTTTAATTTTTATTTTATTCCAGTCATCTGAGCAAAGGCATAGTGAAGGTCAAATCTCGCCTACTCAAGTTTCTTCACATCGTTCTAGTTTACAAACACAATCTTCCCACAGTCCTGGTATTTCTACAACATCTGGTACTGCAGAAAATGGTACTGATAGTTGTGTAATTGTTAGAAATACACCTATAGAAATGGATGCTGAAAGTGTTAATGAGAGTGTTGTTGGACCAATGCTATCCACATCATTAGATGATAGTTCTTCAGTTGAAATGGTATCAGATCCTCTACCTCCAGGTTGGGATGAAAGAGTGGATCAAAATGGACGTACATATTATGTGGATCATGTGAATAAACGTACACAATGGGATAGACCTTCATTGTGAGTAGTTTGTTTTTAGAATTCAGGGATCTCGTATTTTTTCAAAAAGGATAACTGATGCTGGTATAAATGAGCAATTGGTGGATGTACTTATCAGAAGTTGTAGAAAGTCAGTAGGCTTAGTTGGTACTTAAATCCATCACACAGGTTGGGTCCCTATGATGATATACTAAGCATTTCGCTTTAAAAGTGTGCTAATATTTTATGTTACCTTCTTACACAAATCTTTAATGCGTCATTTCTCAGGGTTAGTGCCTGTTGCTTGGAAAGGAATAAAGGTGGTGCCCCTATACCAAAATTATGTGGATGAGAGCTAAAGTTTAGACCAGTCGTCGTCATGTCTCCATTTTTGAAAACTGTGGAGAAACTTCTCATTCATGTTCTTCAACCTTCTTTGAAGTCTGCTAGTAACCCAAAGCAGTTTGCTTAAAAATGCAGTAGAAACACATTAGATGGTATCCCTGTACTCCACCACAATGTTGTTTCAATTCCTGTTAAAGGCGCAAAGTTAGTTTTTTCGAGCCTCATTTTTAGACTGCACTGCTGCTTTGGACTCTATTTCTAGGGCAGTTTTACTAAGTAGACTGATTTCAGCAATCACTGAGTCCTGGGATCACAAGGTCGCTGGCTGTCTTGTTATTTTTCGGATAGAAAATAATATACTGTGTTGAATAGAGAGCACTCCACTTCGTTGTTAACAGAAACTAATGTGCCTCAAGGTGTCGTACTCTCTCCATTCCATTTCTCGTTCTTTTTGTATGACCTTCCATATTCTTCCAAAGCCAATTTCAATAAAAAATACTGATGATCTAACCATTTCTGTTCCAGTAGTTTCTGCATTGGATTTTTCCTATGTGAAGAGATTCTTATCTGAAATTAACAAATAGTCTCACTCAGATGGTCGTAAACTGAATCCATCTAAACAGGTCATATTGTTGATTTTAGTTTCATACTAGTTTGTTTATTAGATGTATCACACAGCATTATTTGCTGGATGATACAGTTTCGAACAAAATTTATTGTTCATAATCACATCATCAATTGTAATCACACGACTTCGAAACTTGAGTTTTATAGTTTTCTTTGTCTCCTCCTATTTGTCGTCATTGGGATAGTAGAATTTTCCAGATATCTGGGTGGACAGGTGTTGATACATTCCTATTACATGTATTACATGCAGTTGATTCGATAAACAAAGCTTCTGTAATCAATCTCTCCCTCCATCCTGTTCTTGAATTCGATTTTAAAACTGATCTTATCCATCGTATTGTATGGTTGTGTGTAATTGCATGTAGTGCTATAGCTGAACTATTCTCCAGATTTCTTATCTTATTTGGGTCAACCAGTCTAAATTTTACTAGGTTCTTATTCTCGGCTAGCGTGACTGCCCCTGTTCTACTACTCTGACCTATGTATGTGACACCATATAATACAGAAAGATGAACGATGAAAGGGTCGATTCACTTTGCTAATTACATAGTATAACATATGTTTCACGTCTAACAGTGTCTGCATCACATAAAATACGGACTAAATAGGGTATTGTAGAATTTTTGTACTTAGTGGTTCGAGTATATAACCTCTTAATATTGACTTCTCGTCCTACCTGATGAGATGCAAGCGGGATAGTTGTGAATAAAGGGGGTCAGGGGATCTGACAGTACAGCCTTTGCCCATTTTGTACAAGATGTTATATGTCTCTCGACCATAATATTGGCGAGCTCACGCAGTGGCATACCACATGCCCTACTCACAGCATTTAATACCCTTTGTAATATGATATAGTCTTTTTGAGAAGCCCAGGAAAGACTAATGGAGAGCAATAGAGTACAATAGGTAAAATACAGGAGTTTACAAACTGCAGAAGTAAAGGTTGGTTGATACCTGATTGTCTTAACTTTTTAATATAGAAGGTAAGACGAAACGTAAGATGTGGGATGACCATGAAAGAGGTCAGAGGAAAGAACTAATCCCTAAGGTATTTAATCCGCTTGACTTGCTTTCAATTTCATTGATACGTAAACACCAATAAAATATGAGTAAATAGATGCGAAATGTACATGGAATATGGTAGCCTAAAATATTCAAACAGGCTGCCAAGGTCGTTGATATCCCAACCCACTTAAGAATTTTTGTTGTTGTACTACGGTACCGTAGTAGTATCGTACCTGGATAAGTGAGTTTTATCTTTTCAATAGAATATAAAAGTAAGTGCATTAGATGTAAAATTTTCTAAAGCTATTTATTATCTGGTGTCGATTAAAAATACGTCTAGTCATATCTGTGCTTCTTTTTTTCAATGTTACAGTCGATTACCACAAGGCTGGGAGCAACGAACTGATGCCAATGGTCGAGTCTATTATGTGGATCATATAAATCATAGAACTACATGGTATCATCCTTTGTCTGAGGTAATCATTGACAAGTTTTATTGACAAGTATCAATGACATAATGATATATTCACCTTTTAAACTTTTGAAGAATCACCGATTGTGTGAACAGTGTTTGTTGAGTGTGTGTTGACTCTCTCATTTGACATCAATTGTTCGAGAATGTTTCTCAAAAAGAACTTGATATGACTAGTAGAATTTGTTTCAAGCCGTCAAGTACTCTCTAAGTTAGTTGACCTATTTGTGGAATTCTCAGACATGCATAATTTCTTCTCTGTCGATTCAGCTGATGTTGAATTCCAGATGTTTTGGTAACTACCAACATTCTTCTGTGTTACTATATTATTATTATTATTACTATTGTTATTATTGTTCTCTTGTCCGACCGATAGCTGCTACCTAGAGGTGGAGGTCGGGCTTGCAAATCGCGATGACCCAACAAGCTACACTGGCTGGAACATACGTTCCTGCAGGTCCTACCATGCCAGGAAGGTTGTTAGGGTCGCGATTAGACTGAAAGCAGTTACCGGAATTGTGTAAGAATCTTTCTTACACTATGCTGGGGATCTGAGGGCGAAGTCGTACTGCTGGGGAACAGGGGTGTAACAGCAGTGAGGTGTTTCCCTCAGATGACCAGCATGCCAACCAGCTATGCTGTCTCTCCACTTCAGAGAGAGAGATGGGGTTAGAAAAGGTCGACCACAAAAATTGTACATCCCGACTTACCCTACGGTTATCTGTAACCGGCGGTAAGTTTACTAATACGGAACCAATCCCAGAAACCAGTTCATACAGGCTGTGTGTGACCGGCCTCAAGCATTTGCCCCCTGGACTCTACAGTCACGCAACACTTTCTGTTTCAGGTACTCGAAGAATCAATCAACTTCCACGGTGTGGACAGACGGAAAGTAACAACCGCCTACACACTTCCAACAGACAGATTGTTCTCTTGGGTTCCAAATGGAACATGGAGCTTCAACAGCACGTCTCTACTTTGTCGTATTCTCTGCGATTCCATAGTCTCTCAACTCCTCACATACGATCTCCTCCATTTCACCCTTGAACTAACTCCTATTCTGGTTCCACTCGAGCGATGACCTAGTGCGCGATGTCACCACTCCACGGTTTCGTCAGTGTGTGTATGTGTGTGCCAAGTTAATTTCCATCCTCTTTGGAATATTATTTGTTGAGGAATCGGTTCTTGGTTGATGCGTCACCTCCCGGGTTTCTTGTTGTTAATTCTTTCGGTTCATTTGATCTCCAATATGGAGCAAAGGTGCAGCTCCGTGTTACTACTCACGTCTTTTGATAGTTTGTGAGAAGTTATCTGACAGACACTACCAACATAGGTCTATTGTGGCTACATGTTTATTCAAGAGAAGAAGTCATTTAGTGCTTAAAAAAAGAGAAAATAAGCAAAAAAAGTAGATTGAGTTCCTAAAGATACTCACTAATGATATTCTCATAATTTAGACAAATTGGAGGACAGGGTTGTAAGGGCAATATTTCTGCGATCAGTCTAGAAACATTCTGCCTATTACTCGTGTTCGCGTACTCAATTTGGTATGTTACAGTGAATGTATGTATGCGCGTGTTGACAGTGTTTCGCCTCTCTTTCTATTAAAGCGAAGAAACTACCCGAGGTTGATGTCTAAAGGGCACTAGTTTTCACCTTCATATAGCACAGATACACATCATTTCAGGATAACCAGGATTCAACACAAGTGTGTGTTGGTGGGTTGGTCGACTGGTGGTATAATACACTTGCCAAGTTACTCACCTGGTCAGGGTTCGATTCCCTGTCGATGCACTCGCAAGCCTTGCTTAGTTAGTTGGTGGTAAGCCAGGCAAAGAGGGAAGCCTGGATGTAAGGCTGGTGACACCACCGTTACTGAAGCTTCAAAACCCTAATTTTTGAAGCCATGTATTCCACCACCGGCAATGCAAAAGGAATGACAGACAGAGAGATGATAAACATATCTTATCTATAATGGAGTTATACTCTTCCACAGTGCTTAAGTTTTATACTTATATCAAAAACACAAATTGTGGTATGATGAAAAAAGGGGATTATTGCATATCACCGAAAATACCCATTGATTCATGAAGAAAATAAAAGACAAATTCAGCGAAGAAAATTTTCTTTATCGACGAAATCATCTTCAGAGGCTGCCGTGCAGTCGTATTTATACTTACAAAAAATATATAGTGGTCCCTTATTGAGTAATAGGAGGTGACATAATTGATATAATTACTCATAAGTGGCTTTAGAAGTGAAAATTAACAGTTGTAAATTACGTGGTACTCAAAGGCACAAAGATAGAAGTTTGATAAAGTTAAAATTGCTCTTGAGTGAGAATAAAGTTATTTGAGTGTCGATTTTAACAAGTGTGAAGAGGGCGTGAAATGTACAGAAGAAGCATATGAGAGTGATTGTAGTGAATTTATTATTAAAGCAAAAGCGAACTAAAAGTAAAATTGAAAAAGTAAAGAAAAATCAAAATTTTTTTATACAGGGAACGACTAGTGAAGAGATTAAGACCAAGGTAGAATAAGAGACTGGACAAACTTTTTCTGTATACAGAGTTCAGGGTTGTATTGACGAATTACTAGCACCTCCGTCATACACAAAAGCGGAAACCTGACGCCCTTTGTACCATTTGGCTTCACTTTGTATATAATGTTGAAAGACGACTCTGGTGTAGCTACGTGTCCTGAGTTTACCAAATGCTCCAGAATCGAGCTAGTAATTGTTTTGCATTTCTCCCTTTGCCAACCATGCCAGATAATGTTCAGAGATGCGTTTGGAAAGTGTAGGTTTTGTGCGAGCGGCGAATATAACTAGCCCCACACGAGCAGGCGAATTTATAAACAAACATTGAGGTGGCCCGTCCAAAGCGGCAATTTATCCTTCACACATTCATTGATCATATGTCAGCTGTAGAAATTGATACGTAGCTCAGTCATAAAGAAGGCTTTCCTCAGTGATCTCTGCATAAGCGATTCTTCAGGACCTCAGCTGCGGTATCACCTTTAAATTCAACACTCATAAATAGCAGTTTCTTCGGCACCGTCTGGATTCTTTCAAGCTTTTCCCTTAACTTCATGTTTTTCTCTCGAGGATATCCATTCTCTATGCGGACTTGTCTGAGTTCTCCCAACTCCCCATCGATTGTATCACTGGAACATATCCTCCTTATTCTTGAGGATAAAGAGTGGATCAGATTTCTCTTTCTTAAAGGGACCCAGCTATGCAGATTTGTGTACTGACCATTCCATGTTGGTTTCGTGTAGATCGATCTTTGAAGAGAACCATCAGGTCGTCCTATTACTCAATAATAGACCACTACATATTTTTTTATAAGTGTAAATATGACTGTACAGCCTCTGAAGATGATTTCGTCGGTAAACAAGATTATTGCATAGTTTGGTTAAAGTGTTCAGCACATATCAAATACAAATATATTCTCTCATTTGTAAAATGATTATTCGGTTATGTAACATTGGCATCATAGTAATGGGATAATATCTACACTGGTGTTTTGGTCAGATATTTTGTGCTCAAAGAAATCAGAAATGTATGTATGGCTGGCGGTGTTGGTGATATGTCCTCAATAAACTGTGCCATAGTTTTCTTTTTTCATTGTTAAAATCTGTTGGATGGTTTAATCCTGATCTCATTTCCTCCTTTTTTGCTTGTTTTTTGTCTGTTTGTTTGTTAGGGATCTCGGCTACAAGCATCACCTCCACATTCATCTACCAGTCCAGATACATTTAATGATGGTGATGAACCACCTGCTGAAGGTAAAAGGCAATTTTTTTATAAAAAGCTTTTTAATTGATGAATTAAAAAGAAAACCGTCCAGTAATAATAGGATAACTTGTTGAACTATGCTGCGTCTGTGGTTCAGCGGTAGGGACACTTGCCAACCATCCATCCCACACGCTTGGTCCAGGGTTAGATTTCCCCTTTCCCTTCGCCGGCCAATGCATTACTAAATCTCGCTAAGCCTGGTATTAAGGTCGGCAAAGACGGAAGGCTGGGCGTGTGGCTAACAACCTCACCTCTAATACCAAAACTTTCAAGTTCTAGCTTCAATCTCTATGTTCCACCGGGAATATATAGGAATATATATATATATATATATAAATATATATATAGGATCCCAAATACTGCGCTGAAGATGTCGTCCAGAAAGACGATGAAAGCTCCGCAATTAAACCAAGGAGCTCAGAGAACACTATCAATTCCAAATCATCCACCTGAGTTACAATCTTTTCTATTATATATAGGAACTATCTGTAGAGGCGTTTTCATAGGACTGCAGTCCTTGGGTTCATTTTAATCATCATAATAATAATCTACTTTATTCCAAAAAAACAGTACTTATAATACAGAATAGAATTCTCAGCATTTGTCACAATATTGCATCTGATTTACTTAAAATGTAAATAAAATTAAAACTTAAAACAAAAGTAACCAGAGGAAATTGTCCACGTTTATGATATGAAGTCAAAAGTATTCGAAGCACGAATTGAGAGTATTAAATACAATAATAATAACAGTGAGTTTGTTTCAAACAGTATTGGCAATTCAGTTTGGAAATTTTAGATTGTTACTATAGAGCATTGAATCTAATGTTCTGTTGATATAGCCGCATGGTGAGGGGAAATACAAAATTCACAGTTATCCACACAGCTTAAATGATGGTCACACTTATGAAAAAATAAACAAGTAAAAACAGAAAAATTGAGACAATTATAACTATAAGAAATACAATTACAATGAGGTTTGATGCTATAAGGGTGGAGGAAATGGTTTATTTAGTAGTGCAAAGAAGATTAGTTAGTTCATGCCTGACACTGTTTTCATCACATAAAATACGTGCCGTCAAATATGGTATTGTGGAATTTATATACTTAAACGTACGTGCATAAAGTCTTCTGAAAAGACTTCTTGTTTTACCCGAGGAGACACAAGGTTCGATCTGCGGATGCTGTGGTGGGTGGTCACAGTCTGAAAAAATTCCTTTATCGAATTTGTTGCATGTGACATCAAGTGCCTATCCATGACAATGTCAACGATATGGCCCCATGGGATACCACTCGTCCTACTGACAGTCTTCAGAATTCTACGTAGTATGACATAGTCTTTTCCAAGCAATCCAGGGAAGAATAAAGGTGAACAGTCAAGAAGAATAGGTAAAATTCTCGAGTTGACAGACTGTAAGAGGAAGAGTTGAGTTATGCAGAGTGTGAGCGCCTTAACTTCTTAATGTAAAAAGTCAGACGAAATATTCTTTTAGAAATCGCTAAGACATGGGAAGACGAGGATAGGTCAGAAGAAAGAATTAATCCAAGACACTTAACTTCCGACTTGGTTTCTATATCAGTACCATCAATTTTACAGCGGTCATAGGAACCAACGGCTTCACTTAACTTTTTTTTACATCGAAAACTGAAATTGACAGTCTGAAATTTGGAAGGATTTAGTTAAAGGCCGTTAGACGAAGACCATTTGCTAACTGCTGATAGAAAGCTGTTTATCTTGGTACAGTCAAGCTGGGAGTTAACAGACACTAAAATAGTTAAATCATCGGCATACTTGACAAAGTTCACTTCATCAGAGTGAGGCAAGGAATACTTCCAAAGATGATGTGTCATTTGAGTTGTAAATTTTATATAACAAATCATGTAATGTGTGGAGCGTTAATTGGGTAGGAACTAAAGTAAAATGTAAATAAGTAAATTGAGTGACGTAATATTTATAATTTACGGGGTTTCATTTTCCATTGGCAGATTGAATTTTATTGCCGGTTTGCGGTTGCTAAATGGTATTTGGACAAATGGTTCCCTTAATAAATTTCGATAAAGAAAGGAAGACGAAATTTTCAGTGTAAAATGATATAATTCTATTTCACAGGTTCTCATCAGCTGTAGACTAGCTGAAATTACAATGGTTTTATAGATGATAATAACATACCTTAATGTTTGAGTGGTGCTAGAGAAAAGATACTATGCGATCCCCGGCCGATGCACTCCTTTACCTCCCAAAGCCAGTAATAAAAGCTGATAAGGAGGAGAGGTTGGGTATAGGGCTAGCAATTCCATCCTGTAAAAATAAACACTACTACAGAAACTTCAAGCCTCTAGCTTGAAGCCCTATGTTCCACTGGGAACGTGAAGGACAAAAAAAGTGAGTTGAGATCACTAGATTAGATGACTAATTAATGTAATCAAAATCAAAATTCAGTTACTAAGGGAGTGAAAGGTTAATCACACTCTCTTTCTGTATGCATAAGTCTGGTTTAAATCGTTTGATTGCGATCGCTTCGGCAAATCATAGTAAATTTGCTGTCCTCTATCGAAACATATTTGTAATTCTCGTTGAGATGTCTTTCATTCACTGGCTTAAGGCAGTCAGTCAGCTTTCAGCCAGCATTGGATAGCCTCTCATTTACTTCCAATTTGGGAAAGTGAGTAGTTTCATAAGTCATAGTACAATAAGTGTGTTTGGAAAGCTGATTCATACAAAACCTGAATCAGGAAACCAAATGCTAACTAACTAAATTATAGGATGCGAGAGGAATTTAGACAAAAGGGTGGCATAAGTGGAATGGCACTTTCTCCTCTTCGGGAAATGAATACTGTTACAGATGTGCTAGTAATTGTGAACTGCTTTTCTTAATATACGCCACATAATATCATGCCTGTTTTTACGCATAGTTCATTGTGTTTCTCCCATTATTGTTGCTGACATTCACGACACTTTAGGCGAAGTAGCTAACGGAGATGGTGAACCCGAACCGGAATACCAGGCCAATGCTGAATCATCGAATAGTCCAAGTGAAAATCAAGAAAATCGCTCACCTGAATCTGAACATGGACCACCATCTCCAACGCATACAAAAGTCTCCGATTCAAGATCTCAAGTACACAGTAATAGTGGAGCATTACGACATAATAATAATCCGCGTCAAACACAACGTAGTTTAACTATAGCTGAAAGAATACGTGCAAGAAATGGAGTAAATGCAACAACAACAACAACAGGAGCAGCACCCCGTTGTATATCTAATCGTCAAAATGTGATCGATGAAGTACGCGCTGCACAGACTATGTATATGCGGCGTAGACAAGTTAGCCATGAAGATACTGTATCCCGTGTCCCTATAAATTTAGATGCTGTAAGTCTCATTCACATTTTTTTCCTTTCTTCTTCGGTAGTATGTCTTGTATCAGGTCATATTTCACATTATTATCATTATTATCGCTCCCTTGAGTTCCTAGTGGAACATAGGGCTTCAACTGCACGTTTCCACTTGCCACTTCTGTCTTCTGCTGTACTTTTCACCTGCATCCATGTTAGTCCATACTGTTTCAACTTCTCTTCACACGATCTCCTCCATGTCACCCTTGGACCGACGTCCCACTCTCCTCTTCCCTTCCGGGTTCCACTCGAGCGATGGCCTGACGTGCGCGTGATGTCACCCAGCGGTCTCCTCAGCGAGTGTCCGATCCATCTCCACTTTCTCCTGCATATTTGTTGACTGGCGATTGGTTCTCGTTTTGTTTGTCTCCATAGTTCCTTGTTGATGATTCTTTCCGCCCCGGCCATCTGATCTTCAGTATAGAACGGAGACAGTTAGTTGTTGATAAAGGTCTGCAACTAGTTTGTATTGAAAATCCGACGGAATTTTGTTGTTGATGCTGGCTGAGTGACGAAGATTTCCAGATTGGTTTCAGGTTGATGAATGTGTTTCTCGCCTTCCCGATTCTCGCTCGATTTGACATCCTCGTCCGTTCCGACTTCCTGTAGTTGAGACAATGCTCCCTAGATAAGTGAATGAAGTAACCTCTTTGAAATCCCTCGCGTTGATGGTGATTGACGCTCAACACCAACAATAAGGAATCTAAATCATCAGTAGTAATTCTATACAAGGAAGGAACTTCGGAAACCTTACTCAGAATTCTTAACAAGGCAGGAATAAAAGTGGCTGGCATTCAACCACCCCTCCCCCCACAAACAAGCTTTGCCTGTTAAAGGATCAATCCTGTGGAGCCTATAAAACAAAACAATTTAGTTTAACTAATACCCTGCCTTAATGATTTTCAGGTCAAATACACACATCAAAGTAGTAGAACAAGTGCAGATAGATTAGCCAAGCATGAAAACGTAGCAAAATCTAGATTGGTTGACCCAAATAAAATGAGAAATCTAAAGAATAGTTCAGCTATAGCACTACATGCAGTTACTCACAACCATACAATACGATGGGATAAGATCACAGTTATAAAATCTTATTTAAGAGGGTGGAGGGAGAGATTGATAACAGAAGCTTTGTTTATCGAATCAACTGCATGTAATACATGTAATAGGAATGATTCATCACCTGTCCCTGATATCTGGAAAATTCTACTACCTCTACGACAAATAGAAGACAAAGAAACCTATAAAACCCAAGTTTCAAAGTCATGTGATTATAACTGACGATATGATTATGAACCACAATAAATTTTGTTCGAAACGTCATCCCGTAAATAATAATACTGTTTCACTGTGTGATACATCTAATAAACAAACTATCATCTGGTTATCCGTCAGAGGACACATGTACTGTTTAGCAGTTCGTTGTGCTGCTGTGTGACTGTGAGACACATGCCTTATGGAAAGTGGAAGATATGTGAAAAAAGGCTGGTTGTCTCTGACCACATATGCTTACGTTTTATCTTCCTTCTTTAAGTGGTACAATATGGTGAGCTAGTAGGATGAAAGTTGTTAGGCTTAGGGTGCTAGGTAGGTCACAAAAGGGAAGTTGATTGATGAGGTAGTGAGACTACAATCGATTAAGATGGCTAGGACAAGTGTTGTGCATCCTGAGATATCGCTCCTCCCGCCCTCCTCGACGGGCAATGTTAACTGACATAGAGTTGGGTTGGAAAAGAGTTAGTTTTGGTCGAATTGAAACCTGCAATCAGTTGGTTTGATTAACGCAGGTAGGTAGGTGTAGGCTTCTTTGTTAGGGTCTTCTCTTCAGTATGCTAAGAACCTAAATGGCTAGAGACTCTTCGTTACTACATGATTTAATTCAATTTAGATTATCCCATCGACTGATTGAACCGAAGTACTCCACCTCGGGTTAACGTGTCGGCTCCTTGTGCTCAGATGCTTCTACGATATCCAGTCCTGTAACTAGTGGTTGTTGGATGGTGATTACCAGTAGAAGAGATTGTTTGATAGAGAGAGGAGATGAGAGACTGTGAGCGCAATCGTGAGGACAGCTAAACAGAACTTCAGAGAATAGGGAAAATTGGAGAAGACTTATATTCCACTCGGAACCCAATGGAACATTGATAATAATAATAATAATAATAATAATAAGCTTGTTCATACAACAAATCTCAATCTATCCTTTTTTCCTTTTCTCTTTATAACTATTCGTCATATTGTATTTATAGAGACTTAAACACAAGGAGAGACACTGTTTAACCTGGCGACCCCCATCATCAAACCAACGCTGGACACAAATAGACCACATAGCAATAAGCTATCGTTGGCGTGGGTCGGTAGGAGATTGTCGCTCCTTCTGGAACACGTGTGTAGATACCGATCACGCACTGGTCCGGGCTCGTGTGTGCTTACGACTGAACGGACGTAGGAAACAGCTGGCGGTAAAACCATTACGCCCCCAGCTCGATCAGGAAACTAAATCCCTATTTGAGGAAGAACTAGCTAAACGCATATCTGAATCCGACAGCTGTGCTCACCCTGGAGAAGCCTGGAAGAATATTCAGTCAGCTATAGATACAGCTGTAAAAGCTGTGAATAAAACAAATCCAAAGGTGAGTAAAAACCACTGGATTTCGACTGCCTCATCCGAACTGATAGATGCTAGAAGACTTATTCCGGCGAGCTCCGAATTCAATGAGGAGCGAAAGCTGCACAAAAGGAAACTTACTAAAAGTCTCCGCAAAGACCGTGAACAGTGGTGGGTGACAAAGGCGAAAGAGATGGAAAAAGCATTGGCGATAGGCAACACTAGGCAACTCTTTAGACTCATCACAGAATCGGGCGGGAAAAGGCAATTCATAAGTGAGACTATTTCTGAGAAAAATGGCTCCTTAATTAGCTCTCAGGATAGACGCCTTGAACGCTGGAAAGAACACTTTGAGGAACAATTTAACTTGCCTACAGCCACACTGAACCTCCCCGCCATCCACCACGTACCCGAATGGGATATAGACACTGGTCCGCCGTCTGTAGGTGAGGTTACAAAAGCTATCAGTAATTTGAAACGAGGCAAAGCGGCAGGACCCGACGGAATTATTCCGGAGGTGTTTAAATATGGGGGTGACATACTAGTTTGTAGATTAACTGAGGTACTAGGCAAAGTCTGGGAATCAGAGACAGTACCATCAGACTGGGGTAAGTCACTCATTATACCGATATTCAAGAAGGGAAACAAGTCCTCGTGTGATAATCATAGGGGGATCAGCCTAACGAACATAGTCTCTAAAATCCTAGGCTCAGTAATCATGCATAGACTAAGCAGAACTCGGGAGGAACAGACAAGGGAAAATCAAGCAGGCTTTAGACCAGGTAGAGGGTGCATAGATCATATCTTCACTCTTCGACAGATTCTAGAACATAGACACACTTTTCGGCGTCCAACAATTGTCATATTTCTTGACTTGAAGGCGGCCTTCGACTCCGTGGACCGAAAAGTACTATGGCAATGTCTGACTGTGAAGGGAGTGCCAAGAAAGTACATTGCACTAATCAAGGCACTCTATTCAAACTCACGTAGTCGTGTAAGGGCTTATGGGGAATTGTCATCTGAATTAGTAACAACCAGTGGTGTCCGACAGGGATGTCCACTTTCCCCATTTCTGTTTAACTTCATCATAGATATGCTAATGGAAGTATCCTTAACTGAACGTAGTGACTTAGGAATCGACTTGTTACCAGGGAATAATCTAATGGACTTAGAATATGCAGATGACATAGTCCTGTTAGGGGAGGATGCTGACAAAATGCAGAGTCTTCTGAACACCTTGAGCAGCAATCTTCGTATGTTTGGCATGCGATTCGCCCCTGCAAAATGTAAGATGCTGCTACAGGACTGGACGACGTCAACCCCTAACTTAGTGATAGGGAGTGAAGTGATAGAACATGTTGACCACTTCACCTACTTGGGAAGTTGTATTAGCACCAACGGACTGATTGGCGATGAAATCTCAGCACGGATCCGAAAAGCTCGAGCTGCTTTCGCTGACTTACACCATCTCTGGCGTAGGCGTGACATCCGGTTATCAACCAAGGGACGTGTGTACTGCTCATCAGTTCGCTCCGTCCTTCTCTATGGCTCTGAAACATGGCCAATACGCGTTGAAGACATGAAAAGGTTGACTGCTTTCGATCATAGATGTCTGCGATCTCTGTCTCACGTTAGGTGGTTTAATAAGGTAAGTAATGTTGACGTTAGGCGTAGAGTGTTGGGCAAAGAGGGAAAATCAATCGACGAGGTTATAAAGTTACATAGACTAAGATGGCTAGGTCACGTGCTGCGCATGCCTAACCACCGCCTCCCCCGACGGGCATTGTTAGCTGATATAGGTTCAGGTTGGAAAAGAGCCAGTGGTGGCCAAACAAAAACATGGCATCAATCCATGAAATCCTTGACAGTTAAACTGAGTCAGGTAGGGAGATGCAGACTCCCGGGTTGGGGCCCTCGGGACTCTAGGAATCAATGGCTGGAGACAATAGGTGACATGGCTCAAAATCGTTGTCAATGGCGCAGATGTATTCAATCTCTGTAATCTTTCATATTCCTTTCTACCATTACCCATTCTGTTTCACTCTTATATTTGTCAAACTCTATTAATTCTCTTCACTCATCTTCTTGTCTACCTCTGTGTGCTATTTGGAACGTGGCAACTCGAACTGCTACACTTCGGTGCCAAGTTCTATGTTGAATCCAGACAGACATTTATAGAGACTATTAATTGTATTCATCTTTTCTTGAAATCAATATCCTCTTCTCGTTTTGCTTTTTACTGTGCAAATCAATAATTTTTTTTATCTTATATATTTTGGCTGTGTAACGAAATGCATGTGTGCGCACATGCACACAGTGTTATTGTATATATTTGTAACACAAACTTTAGACAGCCTGTTTGTGGATCTAATGTTTATATACAATTCCTATTAGGTTTAGTTTCTCACTGTGAATAGAAAGTCAATAGCATTGCGGATATAGTTAAAAGATAACTTTGTCAATCTGAGATGTCGTATGCGATCCTGGTCTTGTGTGCGCATCACCAATTCATTCCTTATATATAGGTTTAGTTCAGCCTGCACCCGTTCGAAAGCTTAACAATCTGATCTTACTTCTGTGCAAAGTTCTGCGGTGATTTCCCGTTCTTGTGTGGTGTATACTAATAGAATGCCGTATGATATCCGGCTATCGACCAAAGGGCGGGTGTAATGCTCATCAGTCCACTCCATCCTCCTTTATGGCTGTGAGCAAGACATGGCCATTGAGAGTGGAAGACATGAAACGACTATCTGGCTGTTTTTGATCATATGTGCCTGCGTTCTCTCTCCCGTGTGATATGGTGGTATAATAAGGTGAGCAATATTCAGGTTAGGCATCAATCGAGTGCCACGTAAGGAGAGGAAATCGATCGACGAGGTTCTGAAGTTACACACAGATTGAGATAATTAAGACATGTGTTGAGCATGCCTAGTCGATACCTAGGCGATGTTACACCACATAGGATGGATCAGGTTAGAAAAGAGGTTGTAGTGGTCAAACCGAAACATGGCTTTCTCAGTCAGTGAAATCCATAGCAACAGATAGTTTAAACCAGTCACGTAAGAAGGTGTAGACTTCCCAGTTGGTTGGGGTTTTTTAGAATTCTAAGAACCAATGACTACTGGAGACGACAACTCGTGATATGGCCGCCTCAAAATCCTCGTTCTTAATGGCTGGAGTAGGTGCATTCAATCTTACCGATTTGTCATGTCTATTAAAACTATTCTTCTTCTTCCATAGGATTACTATTCTTTTCCCTTCACCCACACTTCTATTTATCTTTCATTTGAATCTCTCTTTACTCTCTTCTCTTGCTTTGTGTACTACATGGAGGACTAGTGGCAAGTTGTATTATTATTATTATTTCCTTTAATTCCTAGAGGAACATAGGGCTTCAGCTGCACGTCTCCATTGCCTTCTGTTTTCTGCCAACTTTTTCACCCCGCTCCAAGTCTGCCTACATGCTTTCATCTCCTCTTCACATGACCTCCTCCAGGTCACCCTTGCACTGACGACCAACTCACCGCTTCCCTTTCGGGTTCCACTCGAGGGCTTGTCTAGTGATGTCACTTGATGGTTTTCTCAGAGTATGGCAAGCCAATCCATCTCCATTTCTTCCTACTTATTTTTTTCACAATCGGTTCCTGCTGTGTTGGTTCACTCCCAAAGATCTTTGTTGCTGATCTTTTTGGCCATCTGGTCCTGATTTTTGAGCGAAGACAACTGTTAATGAAGGTCTGGAGTTTGTTGGATATGCTCTTTATGACGCACCAAGTCTCTGATCCGTATAGTAGCACTGACTGACTTCACGTTGGAGTTGAAAATCCGGATCTTATTTTTCATGCTGAATGTGCTGTGCTGTTGACCTCCACACAGACTTGAGAGTAATAAAAGCTTGTCTTGCTTTTCCGATTCTGGCTTTGGTGTCCTCGTCAGTTCCGCCTGTAGTTGAAACGATGCTTCACAGGTAGATGAAGGAAGTTGTTTCTTACAGGTTCCTCCCATTTATACTGATTGTTTTCTGTTGGTGTTGGCCAGGAATCTTCATCACCTACCTCTGTTTTCTCTATGTTCACGTGAAGGAAGTCCTATCTTCTCTGGATGCTTTTCTGCCAACTTGTTGCTTTTCACTTGCATATCTTCCAGTTTGTGGGAAATCAGACATATATCATCGGTGAAGTTCAGATCCTCCAAGTTTTTCGTTAGGGTCCATTTTATGCCTGTTTCCTCATTGGTAAGTTGTACTGCTGCACGTTTGTACAAATTTCTACGTTGAAAGCAGTCAGTTATTTTGAATTCATACTTTAATTGACGAATTCGTTGGTGTTCACTTATTAGGAGAACGTCAATCAGTGAGAGAGATATATATGTCCAGTTGATAAATCCCCCTGCATAGAAGAAAATATACACTTCAATAGGTGACACTGCTAACTGTAACTTTATTGATTGATAGAATACGTTTCATATCGTGCAGAAATGGTGAGTTATTAGAGTCAAAAAGTAAAATGACCTCTGTGTTCAATAATCAATAACCTGTAAATGTCTGTCTGTCTGTTTTTGACATAGAACTTTGCAGCGATATGCACCAGTTCAAGTCGCCACACTCCCTCCCTGTAGCACACAAATCAAGAGAAGAAAGTAGAAGAAATGCATAATAGAGACAGTAAACAGAGGTGTGAAACAGAGGGAGAGTAATAACGAAGAACAAAACAGTTTCATTTCAAATCATAAGTCACAAGGAGTGGATGCATGTGCGCCAGCCATTGAGAACGACCACTTTGATCCATATCACCAATTGTTTCCAGCGTAATTGACTTTTAGCGTCCCGAGGACCCCGACCACTCTGGAATTGTACGTGGCTTAAACTAACTGTTGTGGATTTGATTTACTGGCGAAGCCATGTTTCGGTTTGACCGCCACTAACTCTTTTCCAACCTGATCCACCCTATGTCAGCTAACACTGCCCGTTGTCGAGGAAGGCGATGACTAGGCATCCTTACGTAACACATGTCCTAACCATCTCAGTCTATGTAATTTCACAGCCAACTCGTCAATTGATTTCGCCTCCTTACCTAGCACTCAACATATGGCTAACCTCAATATTGCTCACCTTATTATACCACTTAACACACATGGGAGATAGAACGCAGGCACCTATGATCAAAGACAGTTAGATAGTCGTTTCATGTCTTCCACTCTCAATGGCCATGTCTTGCTCACAGCCATAAAGGAGGATGGAGTGGACTGATGAGCATTACACCCGCCCTTTGGTCGATATCCAGCCGGATATCAGGTCTACGCCAGAGACGGCGTGAACTGGGGAGTTTATGCGAAACTAGTCCTCTGTATCCGTTTCTGAGATTTCGTCAGAGATCAACGTGTTGGCACTGGCTGATGGTACTTCCCAAATAAGTGAAGTGGTCAACGTGCTCTACCACTTCAATCCCTATTTCTACTTTAGGAGTCAGTGTAGTCCAGTCCAGTCCTGTAACATCATCTTGCATTTGGCGGGAGCGAATCGCTCGCATGCCAAACATTCGTAGATTGCAGTTCAAGGTATTCAGAAGACCGTGTCTGCATTTTGTCAGCGTCCTCACCTAGAAGGACTAACTATATCGCTATCTGCATATTCTAAGTCAACGAGATTATTCCCTCCCTGGTAGCAAGTCAATCCCTGAGTCTCTGAAGTGAGTTAGGCTACCTGTGAATAATGTAATATCGAATTTAGCTACTCTGTTTTTGTTTTTGTTTTCTGCATATTATTATCTATCATAAATTTTATATATTTTCCTCTTTTTTCCCCCCAACTTAATAAAATGTGTTCGTTCTCACACATGATGCATGTGTGGATGTGTTGCAAAATTCAGTCTCCTGCCAATAATGGTAAGTTATCGTCCTTTTTCGTTTATCACTGTGTATATCTCGTATTCTTATCATCACCGTTATCATCTTTTTGTATTGTAAATATTGATAAAACTCTGAACTCTAATATGAAAACGATTGTTATTATTGTGAAAGAGAATGGAAAAAAAAGAGGAAGGCAGAGAAGATTTCTATACTGCCATTACTGTTTTTAGCATAATTATTATTTTTGTTACTATTGATTTTTTCCTGCTTTCTAAGCTTATTTAATTGGGGATATAGCCTTTTGATAAAGTGTTGGTTTGCAGGTATTCGATTGGTTAGGAGAGCTTTTGGAAAATCAGATAGGGAGTACTATACACAGCTGTTTCGTTCCCCTTCCTCCCTTGTTTGAGACTCCTCATCAGCACGCAGTCACGCACACACTAAAGTTCGAACCCAGCACCTTCTGGTTACAAGGCGACGTTGTAGACTTAATGGTCTATGCATTTCAACTTATACTGATTCGTGATATAGAGTGTTAAGCGGATTCGCTCGTCATTGTTACAGGCGAGTAATTGTCCCTCTTACCTGACTTAATGGACGGACTCCTCTGGTTACGACTTCTCAGCTGTGCTGGGCCAGTTGCTAGTGAGCAGATTTGATTGGCCACCGGAGTGATCAGGTTTTGTTCAAACCAAGTTGTCGCTTGGTCAAATTAACATTTTGATGCATGAGTATTTTTATCAGACAAGTGTGAAAATGGGAAAGTAATTTGAAATTCGCAACTATAATATTTTCCTGAAAATCGTGGAAAATACCCATTGGGACATTAGAGGGAAAAGAACATGAAGTTCAGCAAAGATGGCGATCTTTTCAGGGATTTCATTCTGAAAAGCAGCTGTACAATTGCATTTATATAGATTAGTTTACATGGATACAATTATTATTTGTCTAATCCCACATAGTAACGAAGGTGATAATAATTTTCAACTTGGTATGAATGTTTGAAGATACGAATATAGATTACAAGGGGTTTAGACACAAAATTGCATAGGATTAGAAAACAGTTACGAGGTATGCAAAATTAATATTTGATAACTGGAGAAATAATAGTTTTAAAGGCGAATAAAAGGTGGTAATTGTTTTGCAGCTTGATATGAATTACAAGAGGCTTTAGAGACGCAGGGATAGAAGGAATTACAGGTGTGAACAAAATGAGTATGGAAACAAATTGAAATCAAAATGTTTAACTTGAAATGTAAGTTAGGAGGTGTGAATATAGGTTAAAAGAGGTATAGAAACAAAAAAAAATTACACTGGATTAGAATATAATTGTAAAATGGTTATTCTAAACGGATTACAAGTGTGATCGGGAGGAGCATGGAAACAAACTTAAAATGACTGATTTTATATCTGAAAAATAGGATGAATTGAATGAAGACAAAGAGAGAAAATTACACGAACAGAGAAGAAAAGAAAACAAAAAAACTGAAGGATCAGGGTACATACCGAACTAGGTTCATGGTAGGTGTAAAGGCTGGACTAGTTTCTTTGTGTTCTTTGTAATCTATATTCACACACCTCCTAACTTACATTTCAAGTTGAACATTTGGATTTTAACTTGTTTCCATGCTCATTTTGTTCACACCTGTAATTCCTTCTATCCCTGCGTCTCTAAAGCCTCTTGTAATTCATATCAAGTTGAAAACAATTACCACCTTTTATTCGCCTTTAAAACTATTATTTCTCCAGTTATCAAATATTAATTTTGCATACCTCGTAACTGTTTTCTAATCCTATGCAATTTTGTGTCTAAACCCCTTGTAATCTATATACGTATCTTCAAACATTCATACCAAGTTGAAAATTATTATCTCCTTCTTAACTGTGTGGGATTCAACAAATGGTAAATGTATTCATGTAAACTAATCTATATAAATGCGATTGTACAGCTGCTTTTCAGAATGTAATCCCCGAACAGATTTCCTGAAAAACTGATTTAATCTTAAACACAAGATTTTGGCTTAATCACGTATTTTTTTTCTTTTCACAAAACCTTCGGAAACGATTGAATACCCACAGTGGTCTAGGAATCCTAATAGATAACAGACTCATTTCCAGTGATTCACCACACATATATCACCATGAACGGGTAAGATGATCGACTCGTTTCTGTCAAGAGATTGCTCATTTCAATCTCCGTTACTGTACTCACTTCCCATATTGAAACCTGTCAGTTAGTCAGACTAACCCAGTGTTAATGAGGAACTCAACACAGAAGTGAATCACTTCACCACCCTCCATGTAGCACACATAGGGAAGATGAAATGTAAAAGAAATTAATTAAATCTGTGCTGCACAGAATTTTTACGGGACAGAAAATAGTAACATGGGGAACCTGAAGGGTTTTGTGCATTCGGGCGATTACATAGAGAATACATATGGCTCCCCCTCCCAACCCCCTACCGTTTGGGTTTTGGAAAAAGGTTCATCTATAGACTAACACTATAGACTTGTATTCATGTCGTAAATAGATCAGAAAATATTTGAAGTAGATGCATTTTATTTGAAGTTTTATTAACGCGTGAATGCGTCACTTATAGCTTTTGTGAAAGTGTGTATCCCGTAGAATGTAATTTCCTATTACATAAGTTTATTCTAAATATCACATAGTAATGTTGTAGTATTAATAAGTGTATGACCTTAGGAGCATAAATTATTGCTCTTAATCACATCAATTGAGTCACAAGGCTTTACAGTTTGCCTTATTTGTATGGGCCCGACCGAAAGCTGCTACCTTGACGTGGTGGTCGGGCTTGAACACCGCAATGATCTATTCAAGCTATACTGGCTGAGACTTATGTCTCTTGAGGTACTACCATGCCAGGCAGGTTGTTTGGATAGCGGTTAAACAAAAAGCAGCTACCCAATCCAACATCATGTCCAATACAAAATTACAAAATTTCATGCCGGATCGGCCGTGGCCCGGATTAACAACGACCGCGCTTCCTGCTGCCGTGTCACAGGGCAGGAGTGATAAATCTGCTACTGAGACACACCAAACAAAAAAGAACGAACAAAAACAGGCCGCGTGTGACCGGCCTCAAGCAGTTGTCCCCTGGGCTCTGCGGTCACGCAACCAACTTCCACGGTGTGGGCAGCCGGGAAGTAACAATCGCCCTCACAATCCGAAATGCACACGAAACCTCTCTATTACTCACTCATCTTTGTCTTCATCTTCATCTCTATCATCTTGCCTTCCTTCCACTGATGCAACTCCTCGACTTGATAGCTCTCCACTTCCTCTCCACTCTGCGTCCACTAAAAACGATGGAAGCCAAAAAACCACCACCGACAGCCTCTTAAAGCCGCGCCACCAATTTCATATAGGAGCTCTTAATGTTAGGACACTTTGCCAAATAGGACAACAAGCATCACTAGCCAAGACCCTGGCATCACGAGCCATTGATGTATGCTGTGTTTCAGAAACACGCATACAAGACCCAAGTGTGGTTATTCACCTAACCCCACCTGGCCAACAGGTTGAATCTGCAAAATTCACCTTGAGGGTGTCAGGAGATGCCACAGCTAGTTCACGAGGATTAGCTGGCGTAGGGATAGCTTTGAGTACTAGGGCAGAAAAGACATTGCTTGACTGGATCCCGGTAGATAGCCGAATGTGTGCTGTCCGCCTGAACGGATCAGTAAGAAGGAGGAAGGACTGCACTACTCGCCGATGCCTTTTCGTAATCTCCGCCTACGCCCCCACTGACTGCAGTTCAGATGAAACGAAGGATGAGTTCTACCAAAAGCTGTCTAGTTTGGTGAGAAAGGCTAAACGCTCAGACATAGTCGTTCTAGCTGGTGACTTTAACGCTCAAGTAGGGAAATTGTGTCAATCTGAGAAGGATGTCGGTGGCACCTATGGAGCTCCGTGCCAGCGAACCGACAACGGTGACCGTCTCCTACAGTTCTGCTCTGATAATCATTTGTTTCTTGTAAGCACTAACTTCAAACACAAGGAGAGACACTGTTTGACTTGGAGACCCCCTTCATCAAACCAACGCTGGACACAAATAGACCACATAGCAATAAGCTATCGTTGGCGTGGGTCGGTAGGAGATTGTCGCTCCTTCTGGAACACGTGCGTAGATACCGACCATGCACTGGTCCGCGCTCGGGTGTGCTTACGACTGAACGGACGTAGGAAACAGCTGGCGGTAAAACCATCACGTCCCCAGCTCGATCAGGAAACTAAATCCGTATTTGAGGAAGAACTAGCTAAACACATATCTGTGTTCGACAGCTGTGCTCACCCTGAAGAAGCTTGGAAAAATATCCAGGCAGCCATAGATACAGCTGTAAAAGCTGTGAATAAGGTAAACCCAAAGGTGAGTAAAAACCACTGGATCTCCACCGCCTCATCCGAACTGATAGATGCTAGAAGACTTATTCCGGCGAGCTCCGAATTCAATGAGGAGCGAAAGCTGCACAAGAGGAAACTTACGAAAAGTCTCCGCAAGGACCGTGAACAGTGGTGGGCGACAAAAGCCAAAGAGATGGAGAAAGCTTCGAGGATAGGCAACACCAGGCAACTCTTTGGACTCATCAGGGAAACGGGTGGGAGAAGACAAATCATCAGTGAGACAATCTCGGAAAAAAATGGCACTATAATTAGCTCCCAGGATAGACGACTGGATCGTTGGAAAGAGCATTATGAGGAGCAGTTTAATTTGCCCACAGCCACGCTCAACCTTCCGAGCATCCAACACCTCCCTGAATGGGATATAAACACAGGTCCTCCGTCACTAACTGAGGTTACTAAAGCTGTCACCAATCTGAAACTAGGCAAAGCAGCGGGACCTGATGGAATGACTCCAGAGGTATTTAAGTACGGTGGAGACAGCTTACTGTCCGGATTAACTGAGGTACTAGGCAGCGTCTGGGAATCAGAAGAAGTCCCATCGGGTTGGTGTAAGTCACTGATTATCCCCATATACAAGAAGGGAGACAAGTCTTCCTGTGATAATCACAGAGGG